ACCTGCAAAAAATTAAGAGTTTTTTATTCAAAATTTCCTAAGGTATACATGAATTTACATTTTGGTGCATTTTGAAATTTGGCGTATCTATTCTAAGCAATAATAACAAAAATGTGGTTTACTCACTTTGTTAAAAATTATTTGAAAGTATGAACACTGACTATTTTTTGGATCGTGGACAATGAAGAAAAAGGGGAAAGGAAAATAGGTTGCTATAACTTAAGAAGTTCGACATTTGAACTATTATTGGCACAAAAAAAGCCAAATTTCTCACCAAAAATTATAAAATTTGAGTCACAGAATTGAAATATGGGAAAAAAATTGGTATGTTATTTCAGAGAAGAAGAAGGAGGGAACAGATTTTGAGTCAAAATACCTATGTTAGAACAATGCTATATATAAATCTAATATATATCCTAAAACATATTTTTGAGACATGGAAAACGCAATTTGGATTCCACCAATCGGCCTAGTAGAATGGGAAGGGCTGTGGAGTCAAAGTTGCTAAAAACAGGTTGACTCAGACTCCAGTTTTTGTAGGACAGTTTGAATTTGAAATGAAATTAAAAAAATTAATGACAAGCTGAGTTATTATTTTTATTTACGAACTGTATACATTAATAAATAGTTATTTTCTATTTTATTGACATATTCATAAATATAAGGATGGATGTAATATTTGCCATTAGCAATTAAACTGATTCATTTAGTTACAAATCTCACTGCTAAATTTAGGTAAGCAGCAATAGCTCCTGTAAAATTGATGCCATTCTTAGGAAGCGAGCAGGAAAAGGAGGAATTATTGATCAAGCAACGCGATAAGGAAGTACATATTTGATGATAAAGAGTTTTTAGAATTAAGAACTTTTTTTAGAAGAAGTAGATAATCCTAATGTTTCCACAGAAAGACTGTGGAATGATCTTTCAGAATTAGAAACTCTTCTTTCTACACCATATAAAGCCACAAAAAAGCTGCAATCTGAAGAATTGACAGGAGGCGAGAATGTAAGAATGGAATGTTTGTTCTTTTTGAAATGGAGGGTTTATTGCAGACGGAATCAATTCTTCAATAAAGAAAAGAGAAACTAGTTTGCTAGACAATGAGGTTTTGCTGGGTTCAATATATGTAGATCCGAAACACCGAATTTTCTTGGATGACGAACAAATTCAAAAGGCAAAGAAAGTAATCTATGAACTTTCATTTAGAATGAAATTATTCTCAGAACAGTTGGAGAATTTGAATCAGGACAGTCAAACTGCAGACATTGCAATTGAGTCTCTATCATCCTCTTCTAGTGATGAATTAGATTTTTAGAAATATTTTTAGATAATAGTGAAAGTGCTAAGGCAAAGAAAATGAAAATAAAGAACCAAGAGCCTTTAGATATAAAAATGAAAAAATACAAACAAGATTTCTACATGGTTTTTGAAGAAATAGAGAAATATGATCGCACTTGCAAGACACCTCTTGCACAGTTTGCCATAACAAGAAGCATAAACATGCCTTATGGTACCCATTTTGAGCAACTGCTATAACTATAGAAGTGAATGGTTACAATATTCATACCTTCATATTAGTAAATTTAATATTTCAATTTTTATACAGGTATTTCTTCTGCTAAAGTGTATGTACAATTTTTGGCCCCCTGTTCAGTTTACAAATGTAGAAAAAAAAAAAAAAAAAAAAAAAAAAAAAAAGACTGATGCTCATATTTGAGTAGGAATAATTATAATAAATAAATAAGATATACAAAATAGTAGCCTCCTCATTAATCAGATCCATCCACTTTATTTTGAAAATATATGAATTCATGTACATGCTTGCCATCAACACTTATGTTTTCTGTGACCTGAAAATAGCAGTACTAGCACAACTATAGTTTCTAAGAAAACTTTACTTACTTCAGAAGAGCTAATTGTACATATTAAACCACTATTTTTTGAGCCCACTTCTTTTCCTTCATAATATACTTGTTGTCCCCGATGATACCTATATAATATACAAATTGAAACCATTTAGTATAACGTATTTTTTCATAACAAATACATGGGAAATATAGAATATTCATTTAGTTCAAATACGTATTATTAAAACATATGTAATGATGAAAATTCCGTAAGCTATCAAAATATTTTAAATAGACACACAAAGAAAAAATTCACTCTTTTTTGGGGAAAAAAAAATATTGTGGATGTAATGTGAAACATTTGCTGAAGAAGCTGAATCATCGCAGGCGTATTTTATGTTTTGATGGCAAAACCTGCTGAAGTATGTGGGAAATCTTCCATGATTTGTGAGAGCTTGTTGTAGACAGAAATCTGTTTTGAGCCTTTTGGTGGAAACAACGGGAAAGGTGGAGTAGGTGTGTCAACCAGCATCTGAATCGCCTAGCAAGCTTGCGAGATGGACATGAAAGCACAAAAGAACTTGTGTTTGGCAGTGACTATGGAAAGTGGTATCTCTGAGTCGATGACTTGTGGCTTCTTTAGCTAAAGAGTCGGCCCTTTCGTTACCTTGGGTACTATGATGACTACGTACCCAGCACAGAGACACTTGTCTGGAAGAAGACAGGGTAATAAGCACGTCTTTTAATGAAGAGATGTGGAAGGTGTGTGTGCTGTTCTTGTTCAGAGCCTGTAGGATGCTTATGCTGTCCGTGTAGCATAATAAAATGATTAAAAAAGCAAGGTCATAGTACCTCTTCACAGGTCATAATCACCCATTGAGTATTCAAATTAGTAGTTGGTTGAACCTCCCCTGGCGGCAATGCATGCTTGAATTCACCAAGGCAAGGAGTGGTAGAGGTTCCTAATATCATCCTGTGACACCTTCTGCCAGGCATTCATCAGTTGTTGCTCCAGATCTGTGATATTTTGTGGTGCCCGAATCTGGCGGCCTACCATGCCCCAAACATGCTCGATTGGTGAAAGGTCTGGTGACCTCGCTGGTTAAGGAAGAGTATCAACCGCACAGAGACAATCCAGAAAATATGCAAGCCGTATGTGGCCTGGCATTATCTTGTTGGACTATGGCCCCAGGATGACGTGCCATGAAAGGTAATGCAAATGCAACCGGCTGCAGGATGGTGTCAACATATCGTTGAGCTGTTAAAGATGTACGAAGGATGACTAAAGATGACCTGCTGTCATAAGAAATAGCACCCCACACATCACACCAGGGGTTATGGCTGTATGCCTTTGTAAAACAAAGGCTGATTGGGAACCCTGGCCTCGTCCTCTCCAGACACGAACACAGTGGTCATCTGCTTCAAGAGTGAAGCACGATTCATTGCTGAACACGATGCCAGTCTGATGGCAGCCATGATGATCGGCTGTGACACCATTGCAGACGCCGCTGCCAATGTTGTGGGGTCAAAGGCAAACGTCTTAAAGGCCTGTGTGAGCGAAACCCCACCTCAGACAAGCGTCGTTAGATGGTGAACGGTACCATGGGAGGTATAGACGTGGCTGTAGTGCGTGGAATAGTCGACAATGATACCTTTGGGGCGGTTTGGGCCTGGCGAACAATCATCCTATTTTGCCTCACATTTGTGCTCCTTGGCCTTCCAGAGCCTTCATTTCATCAGCAATTTCCTTGTAGCAACCATTGCAGCCAACATCTTCGCGCAGCAGTGTCTGTACACTTCAGGTGGCGGCATATTGCTCAGTATGACCCCCCAGCTTCATGCAATTCTACAGTGCGACCACGTTCGAAGTAGTTTAGTTGTCTGTAAGGTCTTCGATATCGTCGTAATGGCATCTTTAGTTGCTTCTTTACAAAATTACAATGGCAGCAACAAAAAAAGATAAATTTTTCCTCTCTGTTACTGGTTTTATACTTTGCGAATTCTGCAATAGAAATGCATGCTATGATTGGAATTCCTGTTCATTTGCCTTGAAACTCTGATCATTTGCAGGTTTGATCAAGATGTTTTTGCTTACCAAATTTCGTCACGATCGCAAAAGTCCTTCTTATTGCTTCGATTTTTTTGCAAAAGAGTGTAAATTTCCTCTTTACCACTTTAAATTGTTTATATATATTCCTAAAATAGAAAATATTGCATTTATTCCCACAGTCTGTATTAAGAAATACCGGATAACTTCAAAATTTTGGACCCAATTTGAAAACAAAATACAAGCAGTCATATCTGAAAGATAGTTGTTGCTTATTAAAATCAGTTACGTTTCAAAAGTATTTGGATTTATTAAACGACTGGGTTTGATAAGCAGTAACTTGTATATTACAGGTGGCAATATATTCCAGCCTGACTTGCTACACTTTTGGGGAATGATGATGGACACACCTAGTTTTTTGGAGACATTAGTCACCACCTAGCTGTGGACTGTAGCAAATTAAAAGTACATAGAAGCATTCATCGATGAACATAGTTATGTTATGCTCAATAAATACCCTGATGGAGAAGCCAAGATCTCTGCATACAGAGGCGATGAAAGCTCTCCGGACCCTATGTGCTGCATTGCCACTTTGAGTTACGGTGCGACAAGAGTGTTGCATTTTACAAGAGATAATAATATGACTCACATTCTGAATCTGGAACACAGACCTCTTCTAGTGATGAAAACCCTTATAAATGTAGTACGAAACTGCAGGTGGAGCTTTTCGCCTGATGAAATGGACTTTTCTATGCAAAAAAGCAAGTTTATAAGATGAGATACTTGAGATATCTCTGGAATCAGTCACCACAGAATCATGATCAAATGATCAATTGTTGCACATTGGGACAGATGTGTCATCTTTCCATCGTTGTAAATAAGAATAATAATGTTCAAATTCATATACAAAACTTTGTAGAAAAGAATAATTTCAGTTTCAGATCTTCCCTTGAAGGTGTGACAATGACCCCTGCAACATGGTATGATTCCATGAACAAATTACCAAACTTTAATTTCAAGTATTCGGAAGCAGCCTTCAAAGACAACAATCAACTGGCAATATTTTGTGCAAACACACAATGTCATCACTGTCATAAATGGAATGTCATAAAAGAACACAATGTGTTCTTCAACAAATGTTTAAAAGCACCTTTTTGCCTTGTCTCAGATCATTTTGAATTAAAATATCAGACCAATAAACTTTTAGATTTATACAGTGAAATAATGCAAACTATCCAAACTGCTCTATTACAAAAATGTGCTACCACAAAAGATAAAAAAAACGGTGATCGATATGTCAGCAGAGACAGAACACTTAACGAGCAATGCATGCAGAAAATTAACAACACTATTTATGAGAAAGTATTTATCTGTAAGGGAAGTGCAGTCGGGCATTCAAGACGGCGCTGCTACCCCTACATAATGGAGACAACTAGAGAAAACGCTATTAATAATGCTGAAAAAATGATATTAGCTAGTTAACTTCAAAAGAGTTGCCCCACAAGCTTTATGTACACACTTGCAGTTCCATTTATGACAGTGATGACTTTTTACAGAATATTTTATTACCCCCTTTACCAGAATAAATAAAAAAATATTTTACCAAGTATATATTTTGATAAAAAATTTATTTATATTGAAACGTGTCTTTATTTAGCTGTTGACTGCTTCTTATTAGGTTTTAAATCAATATTTTTTTTATTACTTCCTAAGGCTTGAAAGTTACCATTAGAATACTCTTTTTTACTGTATTCTGCTAATAGGTAATGATTTGTTACCCAAGTTTTATAATTATACATTAAAAGATTTTATGTTTCACCGAAAAATGTGCACTACTCTTAATGAGTGTGATTTTCTTAGTGTGTATGTGGATTGAGACTTATAATATGCAGCATAAATATACTTATCTTTTAAAAATCCTCATTGAAAGTTAATTAAAGTTAGTTGAATCAGTATTAAATGCATTTAAAGTGCTGATTATAATACACAATGATTCAAACTTTTGTGTGTATAATGATAAGGCTAGTGAACTTCAGGTTCTCCCACTCATAGTAAATCTGAAACCAATAAGAACCTGTTGAGACTCATATTTAGGTAAATAAATTGCTTTTTATAGCACATTTTCCAAAACTTATTGGGAATTCTGGGTAAGTAAATTTGGTAAAGGAGCTATTCATATTTGGATAAAACAGTAAATATTCTACAGTGAAGCATGCTTATTTCATATTTAATTCTCAATGTTATTTTATGAAAATAGTTCTAAGATAGGTATTCTGTACTGAGGTAGAATGTAATGTAGGAAAATTTGAATAAATTATATAGTCTTTGAAGTTTTTATCTTGAAGAACAGGAATATTTAGCAATATTAGTTCAATTACAGTTCTTGAAAATGCGTAGAAAGTTCCTTGAATGAAAACTTATACATACAGCTATTGGAAAATAGAACATTATTTGGGTGCAATTTTGTATTGAAGAGGAGGTTATTCCTCATTAAAAATTGAGATTAGTAAGTAATGTTTAACTAATATAATGAGGATTTTATGAAGAAATTTCTGTATTTAGGATGGATGAAAGTTAAATATTTGAAAATATAACTAGATTTTGGTAAAATAACTCTTACTGTTGCTTTCTTTGGTTCTGCATGTAAATATATGTATATTTGGTAATGATATATTGTGTAAAAGTACAATAGTCTTTAATAAGATTTTGTTCATAAGAAAATGAACGGACAAAATGAACTGTACACTACTACCAGTGGATCTGCACCATGCATCGCGAGTTTGAGATCCTGCTGCTGAAATGTTTCGTATCACTTTAGCCTCATTTGTTACTCGAAATACCACTTTTTTATAACATACACATATAAATATGTATTTCTGTGTACATGCTACGAGATCTGCTTTCATGCCTGCAAATTTAAATAAGTTCTGAAACTGAATTTCTGTTCATATTGTAAAGAACGCTTCTGAAATCTCTACTAGAAAGACCTATGATGCTCTCGACTAGAGAGAACTTCGTTAGCGGACTCCTCACAGTACGAGGACTGTAATTCATTTTAACACCTATTTTAAAGAACTGTGAATGGCAACGACTTAACTGAGAATTATGCATGCGTATAGAGAAGAGACTTTCTGGTCAGACGCCTGTCAGAGAGGAGTTTGGGAAGCTCCGCCAGCGAGCTGAGGTGTGGAGACTAAATTTGTCCAGTGATGACGAGTGCTATCTTTTTTAATGTCTCTGATCATGTCACCAACTCGGATATGTACTCAAGTTTTCTAAATGTATTAATTAAATGTTGTATCTGTGGTATGTACTGTAATTAAAGTGATGCATCACCAATACCAGTGTTGATTCCGTTCCCACTGAAGCATCCACGACATCACAATATCAATAACATAAATAGCAAAATAAGATTATTATTTAGGAAGAGCAGAAAACAAAAATGAATTTAGGAAAATAAAATAAAATAAAATTACAATATTGAATCTACATAATAGTAAAAACAGTTTAACGAAATAGAGCATTTTTTGCTATTGCATACAATAACCTTTTTTTATGATTTTAAAAGATAATTAAATATATTTCATGGCTTAGCAATTTCAGAAATGACATATTCCTTCCTACCATACATGATATGACATGTTGGAAACAGCCTTAGGGTGAAGTTCAGATTTGGTAAATTTGGTAAATGGTACATTCGCAGCAAGGTTGGCAAATTTTTTCTATGGTGGCAGAAAGCAGCCAAAAAAATTGATTTTTTAAAAATTTCACATTAATACGATTACATTTACTTCATACAAGATATTACTAACCAATTTAAACATTTTCATTATGCACATTCAGCACTCTTTAAAGGCTACAATAACCTTCCTTAGTAATATGTATATATATATATGTATGTAACTTTTACACTAAAAATGAGATCTGCTTTTACATTAGATGGAACTTCTTTTGCCAAAAGCTACCAATTAATGGGAAATGAAGAAAAACTGGTCAAAGAAAAGAAATAAAACAAAATTTTGTATAAATTGGGTTGCTTCAGACATTGAAATATTTCTACAAAGATTCCTAATCAATTTAAACTTTTTCATTACTGTATATTTAACATTTTCTTGCATGTGGCAATAAGCTTCTTTAGTAATATGTATATGTGTATGTAATTTTTTCCTGCTAGCAATGAGATCTGTTTTCATACTGGGTGGAACTTCTTTCGACAGAAGTTACCAATTAAATGAAAAAGGAGAAACAACTGGACAAAGAAAAGAAGTAAAACAAATTGTGTAAATTGAGACATTTAAAACATTAAAAATATTTTAAAAAAGATTATTTAAATAAAAAAATACAGTACATTAAAAAGTAAATATATTTGAATAGAAAACCAACCACATTATTTATTAAAAAATAATACCATTTTTTATCATAATACAGTTTTCCATCTTCAACTTTTACTTCAATTGATGTTCCTCTATGATCACTATTAATTCCATCACAACCTAAATGAATAAATTATCCTTATGAAAATGAATTTGAAAAGATGTATTCACACGCATATGCATGACAAAGAAAAAATATTAACTACAGATAAATTATTAATAGTTAATTTAATTAACAAATAAAATTGAAATTATAATTGATAAACTATATACTTTTTTATCATATTAAAATTATTATATTAAAAGTATTTTATGCAATATCACAAAAATTATTATTGATTTAGATATGATAATCATGTAATTAAAATTAAATCAAGAGATTAAAACTCTTTAAAAAAAGTTTGCCAAAATGTTCTCAAAAACTCCTCAAAATTGTTATGTACAGCACATGACTGCATCCATTATGCATAAGTATACATGCAACATACTTGGACTATTTTGAAGGTAAAGCTGTCGATGTAAGCTCCTGATTTCTCCTAAAATACAAATTTTTTATGTGTTAGGAAATTAAAGGGTGATTTTTCTTAAATTTTAAGAGTATACTGAATTAATAATATTTGTTTATTTATCTTCTTGACATTACTATATTATAATGCAACAAGTAATTGCATTAATTTTATTTTGCATTAAAATAAAAATCCAGTAGATAAACATTAGTGATGCTAAATAGACACAAATATTTCATATGATATAGTTGATAAAAAATAAATGTTCAACAGAATGTTAGGGGAAATTGTGTATTTACAATATGGTTGTGAGTACCAGAAAAACTACAATATGTAGCACCTGGTATCAGATCTTACTGATCCATACTTTTGTTTTCCACATTTGGATATCAGCAAGTAACCACATATTTATATAAAATACCCTTATGAACTATACAAGCACTAAAAACTTTCCCAAGATTATCCCTCGTTATCTGTTGAAATGTCGCTTTCTAGATGTTCAATAGTGATGCATATTCATATTCTCAGTAATACTGGTGGTAATGATGAAAGATTTTATTGTCTATTATATGCAGTTTTCTTTAAAATGTTTAGTTCAGCAATATATAAATCATGTCATATACCAACAATATATCAAAAATAGATTTTTAGTCTTTTACTTAAGATACTTCAATGACTGAATTATATATTTTAGACTTTTGATTGATTTACAGATTAATGCTTTCCACAATAAATGTTTATTCAAAAAATTATTAAAAAATATGATACTATACACTGGTGTGCAAAAATTAAGAACGAGACAGTTTTTTCAATATAACTTTGTACAAAAGCTTTCCAAATCAACACATCTAATACCGTAAGATCCCCAATACGTAAGGACATGAGTAATGTAAGCAACACTTACTAAAAGAGAAATCAGAGGGATAAAAAGAAGCTTTATTGAAAAAGTAGCATGGAGCGCAATGCGACTGAAGGCCGAAACATTCCTGTGATGGGTGTCCAGCAAGAAACATCCGGTCTTTAATAGGGGATATGATCTCCCCTGACTGCTAGGCAGGTTTCACAGCGTCTGCCCATGCTGAGAATGAGGGTGTCAATGAGTTGTTGAGGCATTGCTGCCCATTCGTCTTGCAGCGCCAATCGAAGCTCCGGAATCGTTACTGGTGGTAAGGTACGAGCTGCCAAGCGTCTGCCTAGAAAATCCCATACATGCTCGATGGGATTGAGATCCGGAGATCGTGCAGGCCAATCCATATGTTCAATATCCTCACTCTCTAAGAGCTGTTCGGCAGCTACGTGGCGTGACATGGTGCATTGTCTTCCATGAAAAGGAACTGCGGACCCATATAGCGCCTTTAAAAGACGCACATATGGAAGAAGAATCTCGTTACAATAACGGGTCCCGTTGACTGAACTTGCGTTGAAGATGTGAAGGTCTGTACGACTACCAAGCATGATGCCTCCCCAAACAAGAACACCACCACCTCTATACCTGTCTCTTTCAATGATGTTCGAGGGATGATTGCGGCTTCCCCGCTCTCTCCAGATGAGTATGCGATGAGAATCGCTACTCAGACTGAATCTGCTCTCATCTGTAAAGAGTACTCGTCCCCATTCATTGTCTCTCCAATTCCGGTGTTCCTGGCACCACAGAGAACGCCTTTTCCGATGGGCAGGCGTTAGAGGTACACACCGTACAGGGCGTCGTGCAAACAGACCACCACCGTGCAGTCTTCTGGACACGGTAAAACGTGATATCGGTCGTCCAGTCGCCCGCGCCGTGTGTCTAGCGATTTCTCCCGCTGTCTGCCGCCTGTTTCTTCTGGCCTGTGAGGCAATAACCGGTCATCTGCGGGTGTGGTCCTCGTGACGACCACTACTAAACCCCCGGATAGCTGTTCTGTAGTTTGAAATTGTCTCCAAAGTTGTGAAATGTCTGTGAGCAATTCCGAACTCTGCAGCCACACTTGTCACACTGCGGCCTTCCTCCAACTCCAATGATTCGACCTCGGGTAAAAGCATCCAGATGTCGTCTAACAGATTGATTATTCGCCATTTCTCGCTGAGGCAGCAACTCGGTGTGATTTTAACTGCTATACGGCGTGCAATCTCTGCCAGAAATACTGATCTTACACCGACGACATGCTTTATACTACTCAGACACTCCCCCATTACGTCTACCTGTGTATCTGCGCATGTGCTACCACCGTACATCACCTTACTTAATCTCCTGATTGGTCTTTCTGTCCGCTCTGCCTCTTCGTTCAGCTGATATGCTAATTTTTCGACTTCCTAAGTGTTCAGCTTTTTGACTTGCTAAATTTCTTAATTTTCGTCCTTAATTTTTGCACACCAGTGTATATTCAAAACACAAAATAATATTAATTGCTGAGAAATGTTTAATGACAACATAGATCATAATCCCAGTTATTAAATAATGAAAAATCTGCATACATCTAGTTCCTCAGATTGTAAGAAAACATCAACACCGTTTTTAACAAGCACCATCCTCCACCTGACCATATGTTCCCTCAAAGCCTGAAATTTTGAACTTTTTTATTTCTTTGATATTATGTACGAATTTAATGAATTATTGATTTAAAAGCAAGTGTTGCTGCTACTCAAAATAAAACACTTTTATCTTCTGCATTCGCATGTGTTGCCATATGGCAAAGTGCAAGACCTTTAAATTTAATCAACAAAGTCAGCTATTTGAAAGCACGTGCTGTCATTTCAAGAAATAAAATACTTATATTTTCTAAAAATAGTAACCTCTCTCTGCACTGCATTATTTTGAGACTATTCTATGTCTTATGATGCTTACGTAATTAATGATGATGTAAATGGAACTAAAGCTCAACTAGCCAATAATAATTTTACAGCAATATTAACTATCCAATCAAAATGCTTTGAGAACCAAAACTAACTTAGTCTGACTTGAGATTTCAACCCTGAACATTATGCATTTCCCCCCCATGCTTTGGCCTACCTGGACTGCAGTTTATCTGCTGCTTCTTTCTTGCTGCAAAGTTTATCAAAAATGTAAGCTCTTTGGAACAGACACATTTAATGTGCCGACTTGTGTGTAGCCGCAAGATGTTGCTGAAAATAAAACTGAAGATTTAATTGGCCTTCGCCTTTAATTTCATGGTCATTGCTTCTGAGTTCGAATCTATTACACACACACACATATATATATATATATATGTGTGTGTGTGTGTGTGTAAGAAAAATAAAGAATATGTAAAAAATTAAATTAGCAGCTTAAATTCCTTTCTGTATTCTAAAAATAGTAATCTCTCTGCACTGTGTGTCATATGACTCTGGCATAATTCTGACGATTAAATGGAACTAAAACTCAAACACCAATAGTAATTTTATAGCAATATTAACTATCCAATCAAAATGCATTGAGAACCAAAACTAACTTAGTCTGGTTTAACAGATTTCACCCTGATTATATAACACATTTGCTTTCTACGCTTTGGCCTAGCTGCACTTCAGTCTGTCTTATCCTTCTCTCTTACTGCAAATTTATCTAAAATGTAAATTTTGGGGAATAGGCACAATTAATGTGCCAACTTGATTGCAGCCACAATATGTTTACTGAAATAAAAGTTAAATTAAATATACCCTGACTGCCAAATTACTTATTCATTGTGGATTGGCATTTCAGCATTCTTTGACATAAAAATTCTAGCTGTTCATTGTGGATTCAACCGCCTGCATTCTACTACATATATATATATATATATATAATAGGAAGAAAAATTGTAGTGAGCTCGCCAAAAAGTTACCAGGAGCTGTGGCTCCAAGAAATATTTCAATGCAGTATTTTTTTAAAATAATGATATTGAAGGGTGAAAAAATTAGCCTACTTGCGAAATAAAAAACAGTATATAAAAAACTGTTAAAATCAATCGTTGGAAGCATGTGAAGGGCAAAAAATACAGTAAAAACCTATCGATGTGATAAGTGAAAAGTTGACACATAAAAAACCGATCAATGGAACAAGTTAAAACAAAATTAAAACATATGAAAAACATAAAATTACAAAATTATAAAAATTACAAATCGGAAAATGGTAAATTAGCCTAACTCGACCTCCAACCTGGCTTTTCAAGGGAAATTTCAGTTGGATGTCGAACCAAGCTAACACCATTACGCGTTTCGCCGAAACAGACAATTGAAGCTCTTGTGTGACGAAAATTTTTTTAATTAATATGAATTGTCTCAAAAAATCTTTTGGAGCTTCAATTCTCTGTTCCAATTCCCCGACGCGTCCACAAAAAATGACACATTAAGGTGTAAAAAAATGTAAATGCAACTCCAAGTATAGTTAAAATTAAAATAAACATAAAATAAATAGCTGTCTGCTATTAGTCACACTATACAATAATGTACGGGCTGGACCTGCAAGCTTAAAGAATTTAACCTTTATGAATTTTATAGTACTGAAATTAAATTCTAATAAAAACAAACGCCGTGGGTCTTGTTAAGACCAAGAAAGAAATATTTAAAAAAAAAAAAAAAAAAAAAAAAAAAAAAAAAAAAACACTAAAAGAAACAAAATCTAGTAAAACACCGCCTACTTAATCTCCACCGCTTACTAAATCTAGTAAAACACAATCACTATGAAAGACTCGCAATTGTATTTACCAAATCACCTGCAAAGAATGTTCCCTCACGTATATAGGTCAAACAAAAAACACTCTCAAACTCAGAATTAATAACCATAGATCTCATATTAAAAAATTTAAAAATAACAACAATAATCTCACAAAAAATAGTCAGCATACTGCAATTCTTGATCCTTATAATATACATAATTTTGATAGCATAGAAATTACTGTGCTTGATATTGTACCAAACACCAAACTTAGACTGTTTAAGGAATCCATTTACATACTCCAAAAAAAGTCACTGTATCCTTACGGACTGAATGCCTATCTAAGTCATACCACCAATAGACAGACAGAAGTCTCAATATATGGACAATTCAGATTTTTTAGCAATATTACTACCAGAGG